AAAAAAAAAAAAAAAAAAAAAAAGAAGCTATTGTGCTGCGCTGCAATTTCCCAGCAAGAGTTTGGAGATGCCACATTTCTGTGAATGTTGGTGCACAAAGCAGAATATCCATGTCCATTCATTTAAGTTACCAGCTTAGTAGGTGACTATGACAGTCTTCAAACTAGTCTATAACACAGCAAAAAAACCCAACAACTCTTCTAAACATGAGCATCACAAGCATCATTTCATGGATATATGAGATGCAACTAGATATTTATTGTTTAGTAAAATTAGGAAAGCCACATGATCAGTCTGCTGTCGCTTCAGTAATCCAGATGGCACCTTGTTGTTATCTTCAGTGTGGCTTTCAGTGAACTAGAAGGATCTGCATTAAAAGGTGCTTTCTGTTTTGCAGATGACCGCTACTTCTTACAAGGTGCAATAATTGTTGACCATGACTACATTAGCTTATCTGAGAGACCATATAATGCAGACCAGCAGGACCCTGCTGCTGAAGGGGAAATAAATGCCTATGTGAGAGGTGTCACGTCTGCTGTGCAAACACTACCTTCAGCCTGCAAAGACCAAGAATCAGCAGATAGTGGACATCAGTCTGAGTTGACAGAAGATCATTGCGTTGAACCGAACAGTGCAAAGCAAGAACAATGGCCTTCACCTTGCTGGACACTTCAGACCAAGCTAGAAGATACTTAAGCAGTCTTGTTACTTTTCATTGACAAACAGTTTGGAGCACACATGGCAGACAGACAAAGTTTGAATAGCTCTAAGTTCCTCAGCCAAATCCACTTTGCTGTATGAATTTAAGAATACTGAAGTGGGCATTAAAAAGCAATCACTCTGTTAACAAAATGTAGGCGCAACCTGGTAAAAGCACATGTCCTAGTGTATATACTTAAAAACAAGTAAATGGCCAGTGTTAATTTAAGTGGACATTGAGAAGTAAGAATTACCAGTACTATCACAATATGGTAAAAGCATGTGTTCTCATCATGCTTTTGTAGCTCAGTTTCTATTAGTAAAATGATTATAAGGCCCAGCCTTACTGTTACCCTCTTAGCACACAACAACATTTCACTGTAATGACCTTTTCATTAGTCCTCATACGACTCATTCCTAACTGGTAGAAATGTTGTGGGATAAATATAATCTAAACAAGAGAAATTCTGTCTTCCCTGTAGAAGGGCAAAAAAAACCTGATATAACAGGAACAAGAAGTTCCTGTTATAAAACTGTTTTTTGTTTTTCATGAGAAGCTGCAAGCTCTGATTTTTACATCTTTGAATTTATACTCTAGTCCACAGCTCTAAGGTGCTACAAAACTGTAAAGCTGCCAAAAGTACAGGTAATGTTTTGCATATGGAACAGCGAGGCCTTCAGCTGCTCCCTGCTCATCAAAACTCTGCTAGGAGAGCAGTTTTTGTTCCTCACGCATGCCAAAATCATAGAGCAGTCAGCATTCATTTGTTCTTTTTTCACAAGCATCTGGTTTCCCTGAGTGATACATCTTCCCAGAGCTAGCATAGATTGGGAGATTTCTGCTGATGGTGCCCAGGGAAAGGTGAGGGATGGTGTTGTTCATTCTCTGAATTCATTGAATAAGTTGTTGCAGGCCTGGACTTCCTGCCAAGAAGACTGTATTTCATGGTAAGATTAAAATGTGGCTGTTCCTAAAGTCAGCTGAGCAAAAACTCTTGTAGAAAACTGATGAGTGCAAGCTGCTCCGTTTATAAGGGATTGACAGGAAGAGGATGAATGCTAGCAAGGGGCTGAATTTAGAAATGGAGTAGCATCCATTTAATACTGCAGAAGACTTGCTTTTCCTGTTCTCTGAACACCTCCGTTCCTTACCGTCTCTGCTGCTGGATATCATATGGCATTTAATGCAGGTGGCTTTTAGATTAAAGGACTAGTTATAATGGTAGTCTTTACACAAAACCTGGAAAAGAAAAGTATTATTTATTAAAGGCTTTCACTAAACTTAGGTAAAAAGATTTTATCCACAAGTCTGATTAGATACTAAGTAATGTGGGAACTCATGCCTTTTACATGGCATGCCTGTGGTGTAATGGTTCAACACCAGATGAAAGAACAGTATTCCAGCATCTGATCTTAAAATCCACCTAAAAATGCTTTCTTTTTCCTGTGTATGTTTTCCCCATTAAGACTGTTTCAGAAGGCAGGAGCTGGGCTCACAGGCTTTGCCAGCAAAGCTCTATTTATTGCTCATGCACAGTTCCATGGAGCTATTTTCTGTGGTGGGTGCATGGGGGAGCTCTGGCGTAACACATGCTGTGTGCCTGTTGTAGCTACACTGGAGAGAAATAAAATACTAAGCTGACAGTGGAATAGAAAAAACAGTAACCATTTAACAGTCTGTGTAATGCTGATCATTCAAGTTTCCTGGTAATGATGGGCTACTGCATTAACAGGCAAGCATTAGTGCCCCTTGGGTGCACCGAAATGAGGCCTTCTTTGCACATAGGAGGTTTATTGAAAAAAGGAGATGGTTTTCAAGGTAATGATTCGAAAAACAATCACTGGAAACTGTGGAAAAGATACCACCAGGAAAGCTGAGACATGGCAAATAGCACATGGTGCTCTGGGAAACTGGAGGAAGCTTCTGCCCTCACCCTTGGTAAGCGCTGCATGGTGCACACTTGCCAGCATGATGAGAACAAACCTGCTCAGTAAATGTACAAGTGCCCATCAGCAACCAGGCGTGAGGGCCTGTTTTATGGTGGGACAGTCACAGAAGACTCTTATTCCCTGACAGAATTCTTAGAAATTCTGTTCTTTAATAGAGTTTGTGCCCCCTCGTGGCAAGTTGTTCAGGAAGGAGAAATAGATAGGAGAACGCAGCACGAAATAACAGCCAATTTGTTCATACCTCCCAGCATGTTTTTCCTTTGGGTTTGATTCTGGTACCAATTACCAGCTAGCAATTAGTTGGATGGAAAACATGTCAAGGAAAAAAGAAAAAAACGAAGAAACAATTTGCTGGTGAGAAAACTGTGTATGAACACTCAAAGCGTTTCAGTAGTGAATGATAAACCATATCTCGTATTTGAATGCTTCCTTAACTCTTGTGTTGCATTTGCTCATTCTGTGCTAACATGCTTCAGATCTAGACAATATTTGATATTTTAAAGTTTTTCCCTCCTTCTCCCAAGAACTGAAAGTTCCTTGTTGAAGAACAGCAATGACTTATGAGCTGCTTTTCACAGCAAGCCGTTGACAGATCTTCTGGAAATACTGCTTTTGAGAAATAAATGATTTTCCTTTACTCGTGGCTGTGCAATGTCCGTATCAATGACCTTTTGTGGCAGACATCATTACTCTAATGACATCAAAATCTGTTTGCAGTTGCCTCTTTGATATTTTCAAAATTGGAAATAAGAAGAAATATTATATTACCAATTACAGCAGTTAAGTAGATGTTTTATGTTTTCAGCTAACTTACTCGACTAACTAGAACTAAAACACACAAGCACTGCACTCTCACCAGGCAGTAGAAAATCAGCACAGAGGATGCTGCTTGCATGTGAATCCAACGGAAGTCATTAAGACCAGGCAGACAATTAGAAGAATAAATAAATAGGAATTAGCAGTGTCTTCAGGAGATGATTGATATTAATCCCTTTTACACACAGTAGATAACCTATGAGCCAACTATGGAAATTCTGGTGTGTAGACATTTATGATCATAGAATCACAGAATGATTTGTGTTGGAAGGCACCTTTAGGATCACCTAGTTCCAATTCCCCTGCCATAGGCAGGGACACTTCCTTCTAGACCAGGTTGCTCAAATCCCCATCCAGCCTGGCCTTGAATGCCCTCAGGGAGAAGGCATTCGCAGCCTAACTGGACAACCTGTTCCAGTGTCTCACCACCCTCACAGTGAATAATTTTTTCCTAATATCCAGTTTAAAACTTCCCTCTTCCAGTTTAAAACCATCTCCCCTCATCCTGTCTCTAATTGCCTTTATAAAAAGTCCCTCCCAGCTTTTTTGTAGGCTTCCTTCACATACTGAAAGGTCACCAGAAGGTCTCCCTAGAGCCTTCTTTTCCCCAGGCTGAAGAGCCCCAGCTCTCAGCTTGTCACGATGAAGAACAGTGCACAACAGTGCAGAACATAAGCTCTAATTTGGCATGGAAGCCTCTTCAGAAAGAAGTAACAGCAAACCAGGCAGTGACTTCATTTTAAAATTTTTGATTCAGGAACTGCCTGAGAGCTGTGTTCCCTAATGAGTTCCCCTTTCCTCCCCTCTGCTTTTACACAGCCCAACACCACACTTGCAAGTGTTAGTGTACAGGAGCCATACCCCAGTTATGGGCACTGCCTGTTTGTTCGTCCTGCTGGAGCAGGAGTTATTGCAGCCTCCAAGAGTGGGTGTTCTTCTGCCTGCAGGGCTCCTGGATACAATCCTGATGGTGGGAAGGGGCCTGCAGGAGCTGCGCTGCCTGGATAGCAGAAATAGGTGGGCTGTGAGCAGGCTGTAGGAAGGAGAGCATCCCCAGCTGCAGACTGTGCTGCCTCAATGCGAGTTGCCAATGTGATGGCCCTGAAATCATGTGGATAAAGCTTTCCATAATTTACCAGCTATTAACTCAGGTGGGCTTTTTCTGGGTGCTCAGTAGGAATCACCAAGCTTTGATCTGCAGAAGGGGAGTACTCAGAGCTTCAGCTGATGGCAAGAAGCAGAGCCTTGCATGTGTAAAATGCTATCCAAGTGGGTTGAAAGGGAATAAATCAGATTACATAGACTCTATGCTTCAAAGTAGTTGAATTTTTTTGTCAGTTTATGCCTTAAATCTCTCTATGCCTCACTGCTGCCTCCTGTACAAAGTGCATATCACCGTGTCAGTCCCCAGGCACACTGAAAGAAGTGCTCATTACTCTTCACAAAGGTGGCAGGCACAGCCAATGGGAGACCCACAGAAAAAGGGCCACAGGAAAATGAGGTCTGTATTCTGTGCAGAATTTCAGTTATATGTGGTAAATAATACATGGTGTTCCCCATCAGAGGGATAAACTTGGCACTGAGTGTTCATCCAGTCAGAGGTATCATCGATCAGTTCTGCAGATTAAAGGCCCAGAAAAAGGAGAGCAGGAACTCATCCTGTAGGAATAGGAGAGGCTTCAACAAACTTAGCTTTTCCAGTTTGATTACCTCTGTTGTCTGGCAGAAGCTGTCTGTCTGTCAGTGTGTGGGGTACTCACTCAGGTGCCAGACCCAGCTCTTGCGACTGGCGTGGCCATGGGCTCCATTCAGCTTTGCTCCCAGCACCAGGGCATTAGCAAGGCATGACAGCTCGTGAAGCTGCTATACAGTGGCTCATTTTTCCAGGAAGGCCTTTCCTCTTCAAACTACATTCTCAGCAAAGGCTGCACTTGAACACTTTGGTACTCACTTCACAGATGCATGCTGTTTTTAACATGATAACTGAATTCTGCTTTAACACACTTATTCCAAATATACCCGCAGCCATAACATCAGTTTTGCATTTGGTAGAGTCAATATGTTCCTGGCCTTGACAGCAGGCTGGATCGGTGCAAGCAGACAGGGGAAATACAGCAGAACTGATGGTGGGAGGTGGACCTGGAGTGGGCAGCCGGCAGGATGCAGCCTGGAGCGCTGCTCCCTGTCTCTTCCAGAACAGAGACTGGAACCAGATGATAATTGTGAAAGTATAGATGTATTTCTGAAGCAGCACGACCCATATTGTTTGAATGCTGCATGACTCTCCCAAAATATGCATTATACAAAAAAAGTCTGCTTGTGCATTAGGCGTTGACTGTGGTGCCAAACGTTCCACACAGCTTTGTGGTTTACACCAAAATGGGCACCCACCGAACCGTGATGGTTGGGAGCAAGGGCTCACAGAGCAGTGATGGGGCCTGAGATCCATCTCGAGAAAAAAAAGAAAAAAAAGGTAATGTTGAGAGATTCTCTCCTTTTTAACACAATTCTCTCTTCAGCTGCATCCTAAGAACATTCTAAAAACGCAGTGAGAAGCGTGGTGGTGGCAGGCAGGAACTGGGGCGGGGTTCTGCCGTTAACACTTGTGTAAACAGAAACCACTTTCAGTCTCCTATGGCTTGTGACAACCAGGAACTTGGGTTGCTTTACCCCACCCTGCTACATTTTTCACATTCTAATTATTAAAAAAAAAAAAAAAAAAAAAAAAAAAAGTTTCTTGTATTTGTTAGTTTAAAATCAGCACCTAATTAATAAAACTATTTACAAGAAACATTTTTTTCCGTGCCATCTTTATATGGTGATTTAATAATACTTCTAGTGCAGGCTTCTAAACAAATGTCTCCATATTTTGTGGTGGCTTTTTTTCTATAATTATTTTGTATGATGAAATCAGGCAGGGGTTTCCTAGCAGAACGTCCTGCTTCGCGTGGGAATAACTAATGGAAATATTGCCTGAAGGAAGCAGCTCGGCATTTAGAAAAATCTGATGCACCCTGGCTCCCATGCAGCTCTCCCAGAGCTTGCCTAACAAAGCCGGTCAGATGCTCTTTTTGTTTTGAAGCTACGAAGGCCAAACCCAGCAGTGTGCAGGTTTTCCTTCAGCATGCAGGCAAATTTGTCACAGGAACTGGAGAGAGGTTTTGGGAGCAGTTACATCATAGCAATATTTTGCTATTAATTTTGATTATTTGCAATGGAGATACAACATATTCATTTTTAAGAATTAAAAAATACGCTTATTTGTACGTAAAGGCAAAAGAGGGTGCTAAAACTTCAGAGTTTATTACCATCTCTTTTATACAGAAAATACACAGTGGCTTAATTTCAGCTTTTAATTGTGACAAGGACTTATTTGTAGTATTCACACGTGGCTCAGTACCATGACCCACACCACTGAATCATAATGCCGTGCACTGGGCACACATTGCTCACCCAAGAGTTTTGATAAGACAGAAATAAATCCAGCTTTCACAAACTAGAAGCAGTTGCCATTTACAGTATTGATCTATAAATCCTTATTAACTACTACAGCACACAGCTTAATTAAAAAATTCTTCTTAATCAATATGCTTCCCAAGGAATCCTACCCACTGCTGACTCACAGCTGGCTCCTGGGATGGCTCTGCACCGTTTTGTCTGTGGGAGCCACGTCCCCTGCCCTCCCCTTCCCCCCCTTTGCTTCCAAAAGCAGGACAGAAAAACACTGTCAGCATTAGGAAAACACACAGTATCTGGAGAGGAAGCAACACAGAACACATCTCATGAAATGGAGCCTATATTCCATCATTTTAGAAAAAAAAAAAAAAAAAAAAAAAAAAATCTGTCTAGGATTCAAAGTATTTTTTCCATAAGGAGAAAATGTATAAAACCCCTCAGGCTGGGTGAGAAATCCTGCTTTTTGCTGCTGTACAATTACCTTTATTGCCTTGGAAAAGCTGCAGCCACAAGGAACCCAAAGCCTATTTTCTGAGCTCTTTGCATCAGCAGCAGTGTGCTATAACACCCACAATGATGATCATAGAAGCTGTTTCATAAAACCCTGTGGCAATTACAGCTGTGTACACTCTGCTCATAACTCAGGTTTTAGAAGGAGATTAATCACGCTGTGATCCTCAAACTAGACTGATAAATCGTGACAGTGTCACACAGTGATTCACACACTGATGACTCAGGCAGGAGGACAAGTATCTGCCAGGTCTTCTGTTCCAAGAGGGAGCACATTAGGAATGGTTATATGTTTAAGCTTGATTTTGTACGTGTATGTAAATCATGAGTTGTAAAAACAAAACAAAACAGAAAAAAGAGCAAAACAAAAAGCCCCAAAACAAAGAAACCAAACCTTGTTTGCCACAGCAAAATATTTTTCATCTTTCACACAAAATAGCACTTTTTCTCCTCTGGTAGAAGACTTTTTTTTTTTTTTTTTTTTTTTTTTTTTTAAAACCTGTATTAAGTGGTCTGTGTAACTTTTACAAAAGTTGTATACAAAAAACTTAAAAGCATGCAAAAATTCCAGAGTACGCTCAGCCAGCTAATGCTCTGCGAACACTTTATTACACAAATTACATTCAATTCCTGAAAATAGTGTTCTAACAGTGATACCATCTAAAAATAAGACATCCCAGAAACACATCAAGTCAAGAAGAAAAAACAATTAAATAGATACTTTTTTTTTTTTCCTTCAATGCAATATAATGTTAGTGATTTTAAAAAAATAGAAGAGGATTTAGCAGCTTCATTTTCTTGTGGCACTGTATTTTCTCTGTACTGCAACAGGTTAAGGACATGGAAGAGGAAAGGCACAAAAAAGAAATTGGCAACTGAATATTTATAGGAAAAATACTTTCTCGAAGCAGGTAATACAATTTATTTACAAATACAGAAAAGATCCCCAATTTGTTATGAGAAAATACTACTGCTTTAAATCAGTGCTGCAATCAGAAGACTTTATGCTTTATTAAGATAGTCACATAAAAAACAACGGCACTGATATGGAACTTCCATACACTCCTCCACTTAAAAAGAGAACCAAAACCAAACAAAAATTAAAAGAAACCAGTGTACAGCCCCACACAGACTAGTACAGTTTACAATTAAATACACAAAATCTTAAACGTGCTTAAGGGAAAAGGAATCTGACATTCTGGGTTGAATCATATAATGGAGAACGCAAAGGCTGTTTTCAGGAGGAAGAAAGTGCTTGTGGGGGTGCAGGTGCCGAGTATTCTTCTTCTGAGTCTGTGCCATCATCTTCATCTTTTTCTTGATCACTTCCTTCGGTGCTGAGACGGTCAAACCCTTTTCGGCTGTAGCCTTTGTGACTTGCAAAGAAGTTCCCAAGGTTGAGGCCACCACCACCTTTTCCTGTGGGAAGGAAATCACTGTCAAAAAACTGATCTAGTGTGAAGGGGGAAAATAAAAATCTACCTACACAGTCAGTACTTTTAAGAGTCCTTCTAGAAAGTGTTCTTAGTGATCTGCACAAGAGCTAAACATAGATTGTGGAACAGGAAGGATACTCATGTTTGAAGTTTCAAATATTTATTTGCAGCAACACTGTTTCATTGAAAGTCTGTATGAAGGCTATCTGCATCTCTACCAGATTGCCCACGTCTCAAAGCACTTCATCCCATTCACCAGATAAATTCTGATCTTCCACTTCCTTTTTAGTGGGCAGATACTGCTGGATGAAGAGAGTTGGAAAAGACATTTTCCCAGAACTTTCACTGAGAAAGTTCCACTAGAAGTTATCAAAAGGAAAAAACTTTCATCTACTCAGTGCTTAAAAGATCTTAGATGTTACTTACCTCTAAGTCTGCCTAATATTCGGCCTGAATTTGAGTCAAGTTTGTGCTCCCCATCAGCTGAAAGATAACACAGAATTCAAAAATGAGCTTAAAAGTTATATTCTATGATTCAGTAACTACTTCTGTTTTTTAATACGGAGCACAGACATTGAACACAGTGATTGGGAGCACCAAGAACACTTAATTTTCAACTTCTCGGTTAAGGTGAAGAGTGATAATTCCTAACAAAACAATCACACCACAAATACTCAGTGTATGGCACTTCAACCATTGAGAAGATTCTCACGTAAATTATTTCTGAGAATTTCATTCCTTCAAGTGTTCACTTCTGTTACCACCAAGAGCTTACAGAAAGGACAAGAACTCCACGGTTGATAATGTGCACAACCAACACTCTGGCACAGGACGAAATACAGCTTGACATTTGCAGGTGGCATAGTCTGCCTTTGAAGATGAATCCCTCTCCCTACAAAGAATATCCTCCTTGACCTTGCTAAGACTTCCAATTTTTGATCTCAAAAAAAAAAAAAAAAAGCCATAACCAAAATTACGTGATGCAATCACTGAAAACAGTAGTGCAGTAATCCAGTGAGAGCACGCTAGGTGTGCCATACATGCTTGAAAACAGAAAACAGTCAGAAGGAGATTTTAACACATCAAAAATTATATCCAATTCAGTGGCACAGTGAAAACAGACTGCTGAATGGCCCACTCTTTCATACTATGTCTGAGCCAATGGCAGAACCATCATTTGCCTGTTCCACGTACACTTTCTTTCCTTACTGAGAATTACCTTTCACAAAATTGTTTATGCCATAAAAAAAAAAAAAAAAAAAAACCTAATTATCAAACTCCTACTACAGACTATCAGCTTCTCAGAAACAATACTGTTATATAATATGAATTGAGAACAAATTTAAGTAGCACTGTAATCACGAGGCAAAATTCTCAGAGCAATGAATTAAGGTATATTGTGGCAATGCATGGTTATGCATTTGTAATACCCACATCCCTCTGTTCTCAACAATATAAAGATCCCAAAGAGAAAATCAAACTGCATTGTTCACAGACTCCAGCCAACAACACAGATACATTCTTGAGACCAATTAAAGGTAAGTGATGGATACATATGCTGAAAGGATGGTGGCTTGAGGTGCAAGAACAAATTTAGGTGTCATTGCTACATGTGTGCTGACACTTAGTTTGTATGCAGCATCACTGAACCTGCATACAAGGGTAAAAGGAGACAGCACACCTCTCCTCACACCCATATCCCTCTATGTTCAGAGCTGTGCTGAAATGGAACCATCAAAACCTGTTTTGTATAGTTACTTATGGTTACCTCCATAGACTGCTGTCTTCCTCCAACGAATAAATAGTAAAATTGCCAGCAGGACAACAATAGGGATAATTACAAGAGTTGTAATAAGAACAAAGGAAACTCCAGTGCTCGCTTGTCGAACCAAATGCTGTTTTTCCTGCTTCTTCAGAGGGTCTGTTGATTCTGGGTTGTTTTTCAATCTGGCTTCTATAACTGTTTCTGATGCTTTAAAAAGAAGACAATTTCAGTCAGTAATTCATAAGCATCAAGCAACAGAATGAGGAATTAAAGAAAATAGCCACTAGAACGCCTGAAGTGCTGAGTGACAAGGAAACAAAAGGCAAATGGAGACATAATTAGCTCTCGCTAAAGAAGGATTTCATTCTCCAGCCCTGTCTGGCTCCAGAAAGTTTTCCTTCCAAATGCTTACTTCTAACCTCAGAGAAGAACAATGTAAGGCAGAGATTACCAGCAAGAATACTTTTTTCTTTTTCTCAGAGAAGAGAGATGCCAGGCAGAGTTTTGCCTTTAATTAACAAATTAATTAATTTTAAATATGGACAGATCCTGACAAAAAAAATTCTATTTTGCAAATAAGCATATCTCCTTTTGAAAATTACTTTCTCATAATAAATACAGAAATCTCATATGGGTTGTATTATCACAGACAAAAAAAAAGATAGCACTTAATGTTATTTTCCATAAACTTGTGACTGAGGGTTACATTTTCAGAACTGCTGTGTCTCATGCAAGAACTCTGGCTCAGAAAAGAGCTTTTGAAAACTTCATCCAGTCATTCCCAACTATTTCCTGTCCACCTACGCTGAGAAAAACAGTTTCAATAAAATCTTTTACATAATGTTTCAAGTGTATGAAAGACCATTTACGTCATGCTATTTTTTTCACGACTAAAACTGTCTAGCTACGTTGTTTTAACTTTAACTGCCTGTCTGAAAGGTAGCTACATCACAAAAATTGAATAAATTGTGATTCTATTCTGTATCCTATTAAAAAATGATCTGAATGAATATTAGACACTTCAAATTTCAACTAACGTTATTAGAAAGATAACCCACTTTCTGTTCAAATAGCCATGAATTCCTTTTCCTATCTGTATTCTTGCCAACCTTCAAGCAATGCTGCAGTCCTCCAAAAAAAGTGAGAACACACAGCATGTGCTGGACAACCAGTCCATCAAGGTCCAGCTGTCACAAAAGGCAGGTCCTGCTTAACCAACCCAATCTCCTCCTGTGATCAAGTGACCCACCTGGTGGATGAGGGAAAGGCTGTTGGCATAGTCTACCTTGACTTCAGCAACTGTCTTCCACAATTTTCTCCCGGAAAAGCTGTCAGCCTGTGGCTTGGACAGGTACACTCTTTGCTGGGTAAAGAAATGTCTGGATGGCTGGGCCTAGAGAGTAGTGGGGAATGGATTTAAGTCTGCCTGGGGGTTGGAAGGCCCTTCAGTGGGATCTGGTCAGGCTGGATTGGATGGGCTGAGGCCAACGTATAAGGTTCAAGACCAAACGCGGACCCTGCACCTTGACCACAACACCCCCAGGCAATGCTACAGGATTGGGGTAGAGTGGCTGGAAGACTATGTGGAAGAAACTAGCCTGGGGTGTGCACTGACACTCAGCTAGAACATGAGCCAGCAGTGCGCCCAGGTGGCCAAGAAGCTCAGTGGCATCCTGACTTGCATAAGAAATAGTGTTGCCAGGAACAAGGTAGAGATCATCCCCCTGTACTAAGCTCTGGTGAGGAAGCACTTAAAGTACTCTGTTCAGTTTTGGACTCCTTACTACAAGAAAGACATTGAGGCCCTGGAAGTGTTCAAAGAAGGGCAGTGAAGCTGGTGAGCACAAATCTTGTGAGGAGCAGCTGAAGGAACTGGGACTGTTTAGTCCAGAGAAGAGGAGGCTCAGGGGAGACCTTATAGCCCTGTACAACTGCCTGAAATGAGGCTGTTGCAAGGTGGGGGTCAGTATCTTCTCTAGCATAACTAGCAATAGGATGAGAGGGAATGGCCTCAGGTTGTGCCCGGAGAAGTTCAGGTAGGATATTAGGAAATTTTTTTCTCCAAAAGTGTGATCAGGCACTGGAAGGGGCTGCCCAGGGAGGCAGTAGAGTCACAGTCCCTGGAGGTGTTCAAGAAATGTTCAGATGTGGTACTATGGAACCTGGTTTAGGTGGATAATTGAACTAGATTTTGGAGGCCTTTTTGAAGCTGTCGGTGAATCTATGATTCCATATTTTTTCTTTACAGATTCTAAGTTAAGAACTATTTCTTACCCCATGAGATACTATTTCAATATTCTCTGTACCATCCGAGTTGTCAGCTAGCATGGTATCTACCTAAAAAAAGCTGAAATACATTGACACATCCCTAGATTTTTTATACTGTGGATGCTTCACTGTCAGCACTTCCCCTACTGAATGCTTCAAGAGTACTGATGTAGAGATCTGATAGAGATAAAACAGGATAACTGTTTTGACAGTAAGAATTTTCCTGCTTTGTAACGGCCATCTACTTTTTTTCTGCTACATGTTGCATTTGGCAGTTGAGATCTTTTAGTCCATTTCTCTGTCTGCAAATACACACATAAAGTAAAGCAAAAAAGGAAGGAAACCAAAGGAAACCAAATAACAGCAGCTGAACATTTTATAAAATTCTCTTAGCTACCAGGCACTGTTTTTCTGAACAAAAAATAAACTTTTCCTCTCCAGCATAAAAGTCTATAGGACAGAAGATTAATGGCTAAAACTACTTTTCATCTTCACGAACTACTACTTTGCCCCCTTCAAATTTATCTACATACATTCCCTAATACACTCATATTAAATTTCTACATTTTCCTTCTGTATCCCCTGTTCTCATTCAGATAAAATAAAAGCAGTAAGTCTAGAAAGAAACAGATAAGAATGCAATGAATGATTTTTTTTTTTTTTTTAAATGTATGGTGTAACCAAGGAGACTGCATGCTGAAAAGACTGTGCAGAAAGATGAATCAATTACTGTCCCAAAAAACCCTTCCTTGTTGTTGAGGATGGTAGAATAAGGAGCAGGCTGCTGGGAGCACCGTTATGTTTCAGAGCTATTTAGCACCTACAGATGCCAATTTGGACCATGGTAGACAGTGATATGAAATTAAACCCCTTGTTAAATTTTTATCTTCATGCATGCAATGAAGCACATGTCATTACTGAAAATGAAGCGCTGAGTGGCTGTGAGTTAGTGCCTACTAAGTAACATGGTTATAAGCTGCTTTCTCTTAATTTCTGTGCCAACTCATTTTATCAATGAATATTATGTATGAAATAGTGGTGAAAAAACAATCAAACTAGTTAGCATTTTTTTTTTTTTTACACCAGTTAGGCAGAAATGGACACAGTCTGTATGAAAAGTGTTGTTCCTTCATTTCCATTCAGGATCAGACTAACCTTTTACTTCCTGCACCTCAATACCAGCCTTTTTAACTGACCGATGTTCCATTTCTGTAAAACAAAACCATTCATCAGGACAACTGACATTTCAGAAGGACACTCAGTGACATTTTCCTGCTAGCTTTCTCAAATGTACAGTACAATCCTATACTAAACAATCCCATTAGCATCTGAACTTTAGAAAGTAGAGTAAATACAAACTATTCAACAGCACACAAGGCCTTAAAAAAGAAGAGACTTTGATTCATAAAGAGTATTTGCAATAATTAATTCTTATGCTTTATGGATATGTGCAAGGCTTCCAGGGAGTCCTACAAAGACTAACACTGCCGATTACAACATAAACCATGACAGATTAAAGACTGGTTGAACCAGGACTCCTTAGCTACTGCAGTGTTATACTGCAGCTTCAGCCAAAAAGAATATGAAGACTTTTCTCTCTGAATGTGTAAGTCATGAAGAAATCAATTTGTTCTTATTCTCAGATTTCTTTGAATAAAAGACTAGAAGTGTTCTTGTTCAGGTTACCATATGCAGAAAAAAGGCACATCCATTCAGACTTAAAATTTATCTGGCCCCATTTCCTTTTACTAACAGGAGCTGATGCCAACTGCCCCATAGGAAAATCTGTGAATTATGAACAGACAAATGTGGAGTAACTGGCTTAGTCAAAAGTTCATTTATAACAGCAGACTGTTGCTGCTTGTCTAACACCCTGAAGTGAGAGAGTTTCTCTCTCTCACATATTTTTTTTTAATCCAAGATGATGTAATGGTATATTTTTATTGGTATATGGTATATTATATTTTTATTCCCTTGAAGTTTATTCCTTATTTATCCTTACATATCCTTATTCCATTTATTCTCTTCTCTGAATCCTACTAAATTGATGTCTGACTAATAAAGCTTCTCTCCCTGATGTCAACCCCCAAGGTTTGGGGGTTACTAGATTAAAACTGGGAAATGTTTCTACTTGATAGGAATAGAACTTCAAAGGATGCTACATTCATTTTCCAGGGATAATTAGTTTAAAGCTGATTCATGATTTCTTTCAGCCCCAGAAATTTTCCAAAGGAAGCAGTGGACTTATCAGCATATGACACACAAGAACAAACAAAATGCTAAAAAGTTAATACTTTTGTGTAAGCATGCACTGACATAATTAGAGACAGATCTACCACGAGGCAAATGCATTTTGATATCTCCTCATATACAGGACTCCCCTTTGACAGAACACAAAGTAATCTGTTCTAACAGGACTTCTGCAGGTAGAGCATTTTGTGTACTGAAATCACTGTGATTAAACCAGTAACAGATAAGTGGTATGTATCTGAAAACACAAAATGTCAGGATGTGACATTAAGAACAAAAAGAACATACTTTCTGTGGATGCAAACTTCCACACTGTTCTGGCATGAACATCTCCAACAAATACTGTTTTATCTTCTGAAGCGACAATATCATGTGGCATCTCAAAGCTCTGTGAAGATAAGCAGCAACAGATTACTCTTCAGTGCCTACACATTCATGAGGCCTTTTTCACTCCAAGGCCTGAGAATGGTCATATCTAGTTCTTAAACTGGAAAACATAGCAGGTCTAATGCAAGTGAAAGGAGAGGAATTAGACCTCTATTGTTCACTTGCTTTCTCCAGGGATAACATCATGAAGATTGTCAGATACATTAATGCTTAACAATTCATATTTATATTCCAGCATTCAATTTTATCCAGTGAAATATGAGATACATGCTGCACATATAGCTATGAATGATAGTGGTATTGAAATGTAGCTTACTAAAGGTGGACATTTTGGATAGTGTTATGTGGCTACCCCCAGTGTAAACTTACATTTCTTACTTTTTAATCAAGGAAAGCAATCTTAATATTCCTAAGCACAGATTTTCCAGATACAACATATCAGCATGATATTGAATTATTGTTTAGAATGGTTATTAAAAGCTGATATTGCTTATTATCATACATTATGATAATATTAAAAATATGAATGGCCTCTCAGTCATAACCATAAGGCGTACAGACAAGTGTGAGACATAACTGTTTGAGAGAAGATAAAAATAAGAGAGGGGTAAACAAACAGAGCCAAAGATATTATGTCTTTCCAGAATGGGCTCTTCCACATGGCTTTAGACTTCAAATTAACTTTTTGACCTGAATTAGTCTCCTTGGTTTCTGCAAACTAATTAAATGAAGAACTTCAAGGAGAAGCAATAAGCTGCCACAGTGCTGAGTACATTCCAAGGGAACACTTACTCCATTTGCAATTTATAATTTATATACCAAAGAAGAACTAAAAGTTATCAGGCACTGTTTTTAACGTATGTCTCTTCCCAGCTATTATTACTGCTCCCAAGAATTAGGAGAAAATGGCAGCTCACTTTCCTAGCCCTGGGAAATCAAAGAACCTGCAATAAAAACTGAGATAAGGCAGTGTTTTTGTAGAAGCATATGCTGCTCTTTCCTAAATGCCTTTCCTGGAATCTACTATATTTGCCTGGACACAGGGAGTTACAGATTCCTCCCTAATAAAAGATTCTAAATGTATCATTTCTTTTACAGATGACTTAGGGATACTCCAACTTGCAGCTGTAGGCTTTGACTCAATCTAGAACTACTTTCTTGACAAACAGAACTGACATATTAAGAGTTTTTTTCTTCCAGTGAGTAGCCTGGAATATTGAATATGGTAAACTTATTTATCAGGTCAAATTCTGTTAAGTATTCTATTTTAGATCTCAGGACTGAAAACTGCATTCCTTACACACTGCTAACAAAAAGAACTGTTTACAGAAGACAGAACCACCTCTCTCGCTTTAAAAAGAAAATACCACCAAACCAACCACCACCAAAAACATATGAAACCAGAAAAAAAATCATCACTTTAATCCTAAATCATGTTTCCTTGTGGGTAAAATTTCTTGTAAGCCAAATGGAATGAAAGTAACTAGAAATACAGATAATAAGTACTAAAAAATTCAGCACAGTCATCCTTTCAAAGTATTAATGAGAGAATTTTCATTACTTTTTGTTTTTCATAAAAATCTTAGTGATTTTTTTTTCCCAGATGAATTGTGCCTATTTTACTTGTGCAAATAAGATTTTATAAAAGCATAAAAACAATTCAAAAGTATTTCAAGGTTGAATTTGCAGAATTTTCATTTATTTAATTCAAGATATTCCTAGTTGAAAGACTGATCTTGGATCAAATTATGAAAGCTGTATACCTGTTCTATCGTATGGAGACAAAACTGAAGTACACAGCAATTCTTTCCCAAGAATCTGTAACTGCACAAATACTTGAAACTATCTAATACACGCTGATTCTAAGACAATAATGAAAATACTTTGGCAATTATAAATGAACACATTGCTGAAAACCATTAGATAAAAAAATCCTCAGAAGCACAAAAATTTCTGTGTTTATACAGAAATAACGAATCCTAGTTACAAGTCCACATACTCAGTATTTGTTAGAATCCGTAGGCAGCACAGCAATTTGCTATACTCAGGAATAAATCTCTCTCTCTAGTATCACTTGAAATTGGACTGCAAATCACAGAGTGTACATGTCAGCTAGAAATGGGAATCTTGTCATTCATTCTTTAGTCTAAGACAATCTACAGTCAACAATTTTACTTTAATCTTTCTTAATACGGTATAAATGCCATTTAGTCCTTACACTAATCTTCTGCAAAGGGAGGAAGTAACCATGATGTTCAATTTTATTTCTGCTTAGGAATATCACTTTCTTTCAGATATACTGCTAGCATGTAACTGTATGAATATTTCTGGACCTTTGTTTTCCTTTTATATTTGTTTTTAATAACTTTCTTTCAACTATAAAGTAAACTTATCTTAACTGATGGTGTTAACCAAAGAGATCACATTGAAGGTAGTAAAATTTTTGAGTGTGACCTGATAGTTTAGCTTCCTTATCAAGCCTATTATGAACAACTCCTTTGAAAAATCATAAATTTGAAAACATCTCAATTTCTATAACAATAACATAATAATCTTACATAAGTTGCAGAAGTAGAACATTTCAACAATCTCCTAAACGTAAGTATACACACCATAAACTCTGTACAATACCTTTCTAAGTGGAATGAAACTATCAATTATCTCTCCAGTAGAGAAGTTCATCACAAATCCTTGCACTGGTTCTGACTCTCCAGGATAAGGCATTCCATTAACTGCAAAGAGCAGACCACCTGCAACAACATTGGATTTTCTGTAATAACACACACATTGCAAACTACAGTGCAGATCAATGATAATAGATAGTATACATGAAAAAAAACCTGTCAGACAGACAGGCAGAGACAGAGTGAACAACGGGAAACTAAATAACAACAGGGAAGTTAAGTAAGGTGTCAGTGGGCAAAAGTTTACCATCTAAGAGCTGGAAATGTTGTACAAATGTCAAGAATGAAGAAGGCTGTATTTTACACGTTGGGCAAACAAAAAAGGAAAGTAAAAGAGTTGAAATCATGCTTTGCTGTGGATGTTTACTTTGGCAATAGAAAGTTCTTAAAATGAATTTAAAACAGAGAATCAAAATGGCAATCAATGGGACCATGAGAATGTGAAAAGGAAGCTCAGTACTGGTTACTTCTCACTGTTGAGTATGCTGGGGATTCTGACACACAGTTGTTTTTTTTTTGTAGCAAATATGTCAGAGAAGCCAGATCAACTTCAAGGAGATATATGTAAAGTTTTAGAAAAGTTGGAGGTTAGTAAGACTCTATGCTTGGATGCCATCTACTGAAGTTCAGAAGGAAGTCAAATGTGAAATTAAATAACTCAAACCAAACTGAGTCATCTAGCTCTGCTAACAGCCACACTTCCAAGAGACTGAAAGAGTGCCAAAAGATTTCCCATTTATAAAAAGAGGTCAAAAAGAGTGCCTAGGAATGACAGACCTTTCTTTCATTTCCAATAAGAGGGTAGAACAAGACTGGTGAGCATGACAAGTAAACATGGCCTGTTGGAAAAAAGTTGGCATGATTTCTCAAATGGAAAACTCAGCCTTACCTGATTGAAAATAAAAATCACACAAGGAGCCTCCGTAGACATACCTGGGATTTTCAAAAAGTCTTTGACAAGGTTATACATCAGAAGTTATTAAAGAATCAGAGTTGTCACCATTATTGGGTGAAAGATCCACTAATGAACAGAAAGCAAAGGCCAAAGCTTAAAAGTCATTTTTCAGGACAGGAAAGTCTGAGTAGTGGGATCCTTCCTTCAGGGATCAGAAGCAGAAACAATTTCATTAAATGGTCTTCAACAGTGATGTAAAGAATAGGGGTGAACAGTGACATCTCCCAGACTGGGGAAGATACTGAAATTCTGTGGAATAGTTATGTGTCTTGATAACAAAAGCATCTGGAAAGACTTTTTGTCAAGAGTAATTGAATTGTCAAACAGATGGCAGAAGAGCTTCAAAGACAACTGCAGGGTGTTGCTGCTGTGAGAAAAAAAAAAATCTAGATCTTATATATGTGATGCTTAGATTGGAACTCACAGTGACAGCTCAAGATCAAAGAGCAACAACAAAAGGTCTCTGAAATCTTTGGCTGCATGTGCAGTGACAGTCAATTTCAAAAGAATGTTGAGCAACAACAGAAAGAGCATTAGTAAAGGAGGACACAAGCTTGCCACCAGGTAAGAACTCATGCCCACATGCTGAATACTGAGTGATGGTTAACTGTCTGTGTCTCAAAAAACTATTAGAAAAACTCATGGGCAACAGGTTTATTGAGAGAAATTATGAATACAAAGCCAGAAGTTATCACCTACCACATCTAAGACAAAGCAGTTTTGGGTGTGTGGGGAGAGAAAGAGGAGCAGACTGCAAAATGCAATCGACTTGCACTCCTCCCTAGAACGCATCTCCTGCTGCCACTGCCAGAGACAGCAGTGGACTTCACACAGCAAGTATCTCAACTTGTACAGCATTTGTTAAATTCTTGGAAAATGAAACAGAGATAAACTCAGTATTAAATTTGATACCAACTAGAGAGTCAGGGGTCAGACACTCAAAAATTCCTAGTCCAGTTCTTAACATTTCCATTACCTTTGGTATTGGTATTAAAAATCTGACTAAAAACCTTAATATGATAATTGTATTAATCATCAAATTTTAACAGTAAATCCTCCAACTTTTAAATTAGAACTACTTGCTTTCAGATTTTTTGTTTTAAGAAACTCAACACTTTTCTTGATGGCTTGGAAGCTCTTTAGTTTGCTCTTCTTAATGGAGCTTGAAATGAATATTTTAAAACATAATTTCTAACGAATTATTGACTGTGCAGTCACTAGGAAGCAAACAATATAATTTACTTGTTGACATCACATTTAGGGAGCATAATCAGTCATTTCTCAGCAGCAGAGATTTATGCAAGCTTCCCTTCCTGCAAATTGGAAAAACAGACAGCTCTAAAATTTTCCATTACATCAACACCACCTTGAAAGAGAATAAATACCTGGCTGAAGATACATAATAGAACTCTATAAAATATTATTTTATGCATATTGTGACATACTGGCAATCACACAACTACTACCTGAAATCTCAAGAACAGGAAAAAGAATTACCTGGAGAATACGAAACAGCAAACAACTCTCTTCCAAATGATTTGTGCTTTATCTCTCTTACGAACTCCCCAGTTTCTAATTTGAAGCACTGAATTCGACCATTTTCCCTGTCTGCAACACAGAGCTGACTTAATTCAGGGATCAGAGCTAAGCTGTGAGGGATGCGAAATTGTCCAGGTCCAGCTTTGCCTGAAGAAGTCTCTGCAAAACAAAATATCCACAACATCTATTGAGGTACACACTGAAACTGTCAGTTCTGTTTCCAAATATCATTATTTCACATAATGCAACAAAGCACTTGAAGAAAAGAATAAACATTATTCCATTCTTCAAGTAGTTTTACTCATTTAGGGAAGATGTGATTGTCTTTCACATTAACTTCGTAAAATCCAAACTTATGAATTAGCTATTCCTCTACAATATTTGGTAAACCTTAGTCTCCAATTCCTCAGTCAGGCTGAAATGTAACTTAAAATGGGTGAGGTAATGACACAAGTCTTAGAAAAATGGTGAAGGCTTAAACAATTTGCTCAAATTCCTACAAAAAGAATGTTTATTTTCTTGAAAGCCAGAACATTTTATTGATACAAAAAGACACACCAACACTTATGCTAAATGCATGCTAATAGGCTGCTGTACTTATGTTTAGTAAATATATAGATACCCACAACAACACAATTGCACAGTGGAATAAATAGGAGAAACCTGGATTCCAATGATAAAGGAAAAAAAAAAAAAATCAACTGAGGCCTTGAAGGTACGATGGTAACAGAATTTCACAATTTTTTTTTTTTTTTTTAATGAGAGTAATAATGTCAGCAGTTTCACAGTTCATGATAACATGAATTGATGACAGAAGGACCAAGAATTCTAACCTTCTCCCCACTGCATGATGTATAATCCATTTGGAGAGAACTGAATGATGCGGCTGTTGCAGTAGCCATCAGATACGTAAATGCTGCCGGTGACTGGATCCACAGCCACATCGGTTGGTTGACAGAAATGACTGCTGTCACTGCCTGGTTGCAGAGCTACTCCGAGGATCAGCAGTGGTTCTTTTGCATCCACTCCCAGTTTGAAAACCTTTTTAGTCAATGGGAAAAGAGAAGAGGTTTCAACTATGGTGGGTGAAATAAGAAGAGGGAGAACTGCCAATAGAAAGTATAAATATTATTCTGAATAAAATAACTGCATATACTAAGCACAACCTTAACATTTTGATTATGACATCTACTATCAGCTTTATAACAGTTTTGATTCTGAGAAATTTCTTCTTAACACATAGATTTCCCAGGAGTACATCAAACAAAACAGCTGCACATTCTGAGTTAGAGTGCACAAGAAAGCTGATTAGCAAAGATTTAGCAGAAAAAGCTGTCTTCTTTTAAAAGAATCACTTTTTCAAAACAGGTATTTCTACTTCTGAATACTAAGCTCAAATTACCCCCACACAACTATATTCCATGAAGGCCATAGGGATCAATTTTTGTGGGCATATTCTTACTGTCTGTCTTAACAGACCTATATAAATAGTTTACATCATAAATCTCAAATTCACATAAATCTCAAAGAAAGCAAACAAAAAATAAAAAAACATTAGCAAAATACTAATGTTCAGTGATTACAGCTTCACAAACGTACCTGATGGAGAGCTACATCAGTGACCCAGTAGTTACCATCTTTATCTATACTCAAACCATGCGGTAGATAAAATCTGCAAGCATAAATATAAGAAGAATCAAGTTAAAAACATCTAAGAATAATGATGTAAAGTAGATTTGAAGATTTCATTTTTTGATCATGAAATAGCATTATGTTTATCTTAATACATTAAAAAAAAATTGATAAGGTACTGCTCTACAAACTAATAACTTCTTGGCATTTCACAAAAAAGAAAAAGATTTATCTAACAGTACAGAATTTTCTTTACAAAAGTGTCTCAAATTTGGAAGGCACTTTATCTGCATTCTCAGTCAGGCTAACATTTGGTGACTTTAAAGAAAACAAACAACATTTTGCATTTCTGCTAATCTGGCTGGTAGGTTAAATGATATAAATTGGTAGAAAGCAGATGTAATAAAGAAGGTAAATAATTTTTCCGATTTTTCTGTTGTCTGAAAAACTCAAGAGGTTACAATCACACAATGCAATACAAAACAGGCATGTGAAAATGGGTTGGCTACTTTTGGGACTCAAATATATGGAAATGTTACTAGTTCTATGAGTAAAGGCAACAAAATCCACACAAACCACAAAACTTACAGATTTCTGCCTGTGGAACGCAGCAGCTTTGCGTTACTTGGATTCAGAACAAGAATTGTGTTTTGTTCAATCGGTCCAAGTCCTCTTTGTTGATAAACAAATTTGCTATCAAAAGAACTAAACAAAAACATTGGAATACAAAGCCAGTATTAGAACAGTCCAGTGGTGAGCAGTACACACGAAACTTCGAGTCAGGTTTTGTATTTTAATTCCCGTGCGGATTACTTGATTTTTTATTTTTATTTTTATGTTCTTACTGTATCATTTTTGTCTTATTTCATTATTTTATGATCCTAGGAGTTCTAACGTTAGGACGTCTGCATTTCCTACTAAGGTTATGACATTCTAACTCAAGGAGCACAAAACCAACTCAGCAACAATTAGAGATAATTCTAAAGCAAGCTGGCAAACAAAAAAGCCTTCTGAGTTTTTTATTGTTGTTTTCGTTTGTTTGTTTTTCTTTGCTATGGTAAATAAAAACAACTCAGTCTAAGTACAAACACAGTTAATCACCAGGGCATAATTACCAGTATGACCCAGTGTAATATATACATATATACATCTTACCTGCAAAGCTCCATGCACAATTTTCAAAGTAAATAGAATTTATTAATAAAAAAATATTTAAACAATTACAACATTACTGTGTATTCTGGACATTAAAAACCAGAACTAATTAATGTTCCAGACATAAAACTACCATACAAAAACAAACAAACAAACAAAAAAACTAGCTTTTTGTATCCCTATAGAGAAGCTAGCTATTCCTTCAACCTCATTGAACACATTCAGCCTTTGTTAACCTTCATTAAAACTCTGACAACAAAGTTTAGATATAAATGTTAAAAATGGTACTAGATTATGGACAAGAAATGTTAATAGATGACGTGTTCTGTCCTCCTGCCTTATATTTTTAAAACCATTTTTAATCCCTCTAAGAGAAACCCAGACATGACTGATGTAACTTGGTGAACAAGTATATATTTTGTAGTCACAGACAAGATAATGAGTAAAGCTATTAAGGCTTTAAATTCCATAGTCCTAACAGCCTAGTCTCTCCAAGATATTAAATATTCATATGTCTAGAATTTGTATTGTGGAAAAGCAATACCAGCTTCATTTGTAACCAGAAAACCTGTAAAATAATGCATTCAAGTTTATACATAGACTAGGATTAAAAAAAAATAGTGTTTAGACATCATCTTTATGTATGCTAATTATCTGTTGCTACTTATTTATCTGCTGACAAAAATCAATACATCCTTTTAGCTGGAAATGATCACGAATATTACTATTACTAAAACTCTCTGCAGAGCTCTTCCTGAACACTTTGCCAAGATGCTATGGCGAAACGCACAGAATCACAAAATATCTGAGGTTGGCATGGTCCCCTGTGTCTTTTGGTCCAATGCCTGTTCCGAAAAGGCCACAGTGCAGGGTGCCCAGGCCCACCTTCAGGCAGCTTCTGAAGGTCTCCAGACCCCACAGCCTGGATCTGTGCCAGTGCTCCACCACCCACACAGCACATATGTGCTTCCTGATGACCTGAGGGACTTTTGCTCCAGTTTGTGCCCACTGCCTCTTGTCCTGTCCCTGGGCACCACAGAAACAGCACTCTATTCAGATATTTATAGGCATTGACGAGATTTACACCAGCCCTCTCAGCTGCCTCATAGCAGTGCATACTCCAGTCCTTTTATCATCTTCACATACAACACTCCAGGTGTTGTCTCACCAGTGCTGAGTAGAGGAGAAAGGTTACAGCTTTTAACATGCTGGCAATAATGTGCCTAACGCAGCCAATTAGCCTTTACAGCAGCACAAACAGGCTGACAGCTCATGCTCAAGTGTAACACTAATGGTACACAACAATAGCCTACTAATGTTCATTTTTTGACGATGGCTTGACAGTTTTTGCTCTATGCTTTATCGTTATTGACAATAATCATCTGTGATAACCTCTCTCGTTTTAAACAATTATTAAAAAAAAGTAATAAAAAAACAAACCCATGAAGTCTCCCAGAAAGGCCCAACTCACACTGCCTGATTTCAGTAAATGGCAGAGGCCCAAGATCCCGGTACTCGTAAGACCTTGTTGCAGGCATACCTGACCACTGGAAAAACAACACTGGACAGACAGAACTAATGCCTGGCAGCAGCACACCAGTTTCTAAGGTGCTTGGCTAACGTTGTATGTTTATGTATGCATGCAAAGACCTAGGCTTGGAGCCAGGAATCTTACTCCTGCCTTCCACAGCTGCATGATGGATACTTGTTTGCTACCTATTTATCTTTGCTAAAATGCGTTAGTTACACCCACATTAATGGATACAAGTGAAAAGAGCTGAAGCTCAAGCTCTGTGGACGCTATTAATATTAATCAGCACAGCTAATCACATTAGAGAATCTTAGTGAGGGGATGTATTGTACAAAACCAGCAGCAACAACAAGAAGAAAATGAGATTATAACTCTAACTGACTAGTTAGCTTAAAAAACTGATCAACTTTCCTTATTATTATTATTCTGGATCCTAGAAACAGCCCTGCCCAGAATTCTAAGCTTTCTCTGCTAATAAGTACTCAGCTCTTCTGGGAAATGAGTGCTTTCAGCATAAATATGAGACTGTACAGTATTTTCAGCAAAGGAAGCTTAGTGAACTCTGAAACAAGGGTATGGAATGGAATTTCATGCACCTCCTCTCAGTAAAATATTCTTTTCTAGGAGTTAGACTAGCGTGCTACAGAGCCACTCTTCCTAGGACTTAAGACCATTTTACAAGGTAGTCAACGTTTCTTTTTTATCTGATAAATGGGAATAAAAAATATTGCTGGTTTAAAAAAAGAAAAAGCAAACAAAGGAATTGAACACCTTACTGTTAAATATTATATTGTTCTGCTCCCATCATGGTTTTCTAATAGATGCTGCAGTTCCATATCAAAGGACAACTAAAATATGCTGAATGTCACAACTTCGAACTTCAAACTCCAATATAATTTCACAGCTATTTTTCTGCTTCTCAGCTGGACACTTCATACTAGCATAAACAATTCAGTACCACATCTAGTGCCTCTTTGGCATGCTGTGTATTAAGCTTAGACAGATCACCTGACCTCATAAGCCTTGAAAGTACCCAGAGCTCTATTCTTAGTCAATATCCAGACTAAATTAAACCTACCCAGCTTATCAGGAAGCAATAAAGATGTTCAAGAAAGATTCTATATTCTTTGTTATGTTTTCTATAATTTGCTCACAGTGAATCTTTTTTTCATCACGAAAACCAAAAACTTTCGAATGATTAATTGCTCAACCAGGTGAATAGTTCCATCTTCTTTTTGAATTGCACACTGCACATACAGCATGAAAGACTAAACTGAAAACAGTATGTGGTAAGAGAACATGAATAATTTAAAGGAATTATTGTTATTTTATTTTTTAAATCATGCCAAGAAAGAACTAAGAGCCACTGAAAAACTGCTACTATATTACAGGACTTGTCATTGGGTAACTGCTTCTGTGCTCCAAAAGTAAACTAAGGTTGCCTTTTAACACAGCACAGACCATTCATTCAGCTATATTTAGTTGATCAAGGATCCAGCTTTTATGGCATATATTAATAATGCATTGGAAATACTTGTGCAGTTTCTAACAGCACAGATTCTTTTTTTTTTTTTTTTTTTTTTTTTTTTTTCTGATTTGTTCCTGTACTATGCACTAAAATAGAAAAATTCTGAGCCCTCAGGCTCAATTCATCATGTTTAAGATTTGCAAAGAAAAATTATACTCAATTTCCTGTGTATTTCCTGTTACAATGATAAACATTAACTTCCAAGTTAATTTCTTATCCTTCACATCTAAAAGCGACAGGAATTACACAATTATTTTGATACAAAGGAGTATTAATTATATTAGGCCTCTGAACTTCCAAACAAGGTAACTGATGGGGATAAAGAAATAAAGAAGCAGCAGAAGTAAGAAGTCATAAGAAGATGAACTAAAAATGAATGCACTTAATTTGCAAAAGGAAACTAAGCAAAATCGAATGAAGTGCTTAGCCAGCTGATACAATAATTCTTTGAAGCTGACTTTTTCCACACAGTGTCCAACAGTCAAACTCTAGAATTCACTGATAATGGTGTAAAGGTTCCACAGGGATTCCTGAGCTATAAATAAAAATAAAAGTGAAAGACAGCATTATATAAACAAGGCCACCATACTCTGTTTGGAATGTTCTGTCCTTAGATTATATATTTTGGGGTGTATTAAACACTAGAATAATGGCTTTTCTTCTCTTTTTGAGATTACAGTAGTTTTTAATTAAGTCAGTAATGAAAAAATGTTTTGCGCATGTTCTCTTTAACAATCCATTTTTTTTTCCCCAGTGGATATAGAGACTGATGCACTCAATCCAGATGAACCAAAACTTGCTCTGCATGCCTTACATTCATAGCATTAAATATTACTAAAATATCATTCTCCCAGGCTAGTTAATCCAGGCAACAACATGAAGAAGCAGGGATAATTAATTTGAGTAAAATTTGGGTATGCAGTTTTGGAACCTAACGCACAATGATCTTAATCCTTAGAGAAATGTTCTTACTGTCTAAAGATCTAGCAACCCCATAAATGACACTTGTAAGTAGCAAGCTCTGAGTCTCCTCAAGGCACTTTCAGCCAAAGAGTTGAATTTTAAACAGCAAAGGATCTGCACAAAGAGCTGAATCTTAAATAGAAAAGGATCTGCAATCTACTTTGTTTCTTCAAGAAGATACTCAAACAGCATACACCAATTTGATCTTTTAACATGTAATTCTGCAAAGGATCTACTTACTTTTCATCCCAAACATGATCACCTCTGTGGAAGATAACTAGGTTGTTTTCAGGGTCCAGAGCCAAACCAGAAACTTGGCCTAGTTTAAGGTCTAACCCTGGCCACTCCATAGCCTCTTCTATGTGGAAGTCTGATCAAGGAAACAAAGAAAAGACATTAATGCAGTGTAATTATAAAACAAAACAAAACATAAAATTGGTAAACAGAAGTATTTCATACTGTATGAATATTACCTTACATGCATAATTTTCATGAAAACACTGCAATTCAATTCCAAGCATAATTTTATTGCAGTAAAGCATGCACAAACACTGGCATCCTGCTATTTGCAGGAACACAGAAATTTCAGAACATCCACCGACTTCATTCTTCTGTGTCTTACAAGCATATAGCTACACAGATTCTAGATGTCTGAGGAGTTCTGCCAATACTTTCTAACACTGATAAATTACAGAAATACACAACGGTTATCCATTATATAAAATTATATATGTATTATAGTACATATATAATTATATATCTTTTATGTATATTACAGGCATGAATAGGAAACAGATATCCAACTCTGATGAAAGAAACAAAGGGCATAATATCTATCACTGTTTATGGATTAGGACACTGTTAAAGCACAAATGCTGGGCAGTTTTTGAGTAACACAAATGTAATCTTCTTACTAAAACAAAAGTACAGGAATTAGGCAAGTGAACCACTACTAACAAGTAGGATACTTCCTGCACTTGTCTTAAATTGTAAAACTCCTCAATTAAAAATGAAAAACATAGCTGTTACTTTAAGATTAAAAATATAGAAATGTAAAAAGAAGTTTGCTTTAACCTCTGTTGTATGTAAAAATTGAGTGATTAAAGGCGGAAAAAAAATTGGCAAAATTGCAGTGTTGATTAAGAAAATTAATTTCTCACAAATAAAATGCTTAATATGAAATCAAAGAGGTTGGTTTGCATTGCTGCTGCATTATGAAAGAAAAAATGAGATGGGACACAATCCCCAACCTCTGCAACCCGATAACCATAACCACCACTTCCTTAATACTGGGAAGAGATGCAGTCTGAGGAGAAACAGATGCAGAGGACAGAAAACAACCTTCTACTATCTACTCCAGGAAAAGAGAAAAACAGTGCTGAAATCTAGCTAAGACATAGTTTACCTTTGTAAAGATACTTTGATATTTTTTGCAGTTTTATCTTTGTAGTTTTAGATAACAGAGTTACAGAGAAACTAAGGCAAATCTAAGATAGTCGTCATCTGCTGTGAACACAATCAACTGCAAAATTCTGAAACAAATTATATTCTAACCTGTAGTAGTTTTAGTCTAGAGAAAAAAAAAAAAAAAAAAAAAAAAAAAAAAAAAAAAAAAAAAAAAAAAAAAAAAAAAAAAAAAAAAAAAAAAAAAAAAGCTAAAAGAAGAACTTTGAAGAAGAAAATTACACATATTCAAAAAAACCCACAGTACCTCTATACAGTACTGCTCATTAACAGCAGGCACAGTGCTGGGTACACTCGCCTGCACAAGGACACTAGGGTTTCAAAAGGAATGAAAGGATGCAAATCCAGTGTCACTTGTCCATCCCATACTTATGCATGTTTAATGTTTTGATTTTTCTTGATCACTAAGACTTTTCAAAAAAAAAAAAAAATCTAGAACATCTGAAAGTCTAAACACAGAAACATACATTTTGGTCTTTGTAAAGTTCAGTTTCTCAAAAGTCATGTACTACAAAATACAGAATTTTGTTGTCCTTTTTAAAAGGCTAAAAGATTGCTGATAGATAAAACCAATAAAATAATAGAATCGTTTAGGTTGAAAATGACCTTAAAGTGAAATATTCTTAATCACGAAACATTGCATTTTCTTACAGTTTTTCAAAATTCAGTTATTATGGTTTTTTTTTTCCTTTTGTTTCACACAGGAAGCCCTCACAAAAAGGTATATCCAAAAGGGAACTTGCTTTTCTTACAAAAGCTTGCATGCTAAGTTCACATACATCTGAGGCTATTATTAACTCCCTACAAAAGCAGCCCACGGACCAGTTACGTATGAAACCAAGCAATGACTTATACCCATTAAAATAACTTAAAAATACAGCTATACAACAATCAGTGGTTTTGTTGTAAATGTGATTTCTAAACTGAGGATCAGGACATCCGCATGGCAATTCTCTTGATTCAATAACATTATTAAGAATTAAATAGACTTCCAAAATGCAAATCAGGTTCTAACCTCCCTAGAATGGAAAGGGTAAAGGCTCTATTCATCGGTAAAATTACAACTTACTCTCTGTAAAACCCCCTGGCAGATCTTAACTTTATGAATTTTATTCCTTCACTTCATTTACCTTCTGCCACCATAGTTGTTATCTACATTTTGACAAATGTAAAGAAGAGCTAGCTCTAAAAGGAGTTTTTAAAACTGGAAAATTATACTGTAAGCTACAATTAGGAAATGTAGTTGTGCTGTTGCAGTGATATAGAACATGACTGACCAATGAACAGTCACACAGTAAGAATATAACAGCGCGGGAAGAGCAGTAGCATTAGCTTACAGGCATAATAATTACAACAACCTTACTTACCTGGTCACTAGAAATGTCACATCAGTAACATATTAAAAAAAAACCAGAATATTTGGCAAGACTAAAAATATTAAACTTTTACAGTTCTGGTAATTGTTAAGCAGTTAAATGAAATTGATATTATAATTTAACAGAAGCCACAGTCCTCTCTTAACAAGCAGATTTTTTAATTTTTTTTTTAAACTCAATATAACAGTTTCATGAAGGGTGCAATGTTTCTTTTCATTAAATCATCACAACTTAAAGCCTTAAATCTTCTTTCTTTATTAGAGAAAAAAACTGTCAAAGAAGCAAGGTTCTGTTCTCTAGTATGCGCAGATCCAAAAATCTGAATGTGATTAAAGACTATTTCACTAAAAATTTTACCAAAAGATGGCGCTGACAGCTTCTGCTGTTCAGAATTTCTGTAATTAGCAGTATAAGAAACAATTGAAAACAACATCATTTCAGTTTTGCTTTATCTCAGAACTGCACCTTTTAGAAGTCCACTTATTAGTGCTCCACCAACATGTTCCCCTCAGATAAATATAGAGCAACTAAAGTATCAGAGAAAACACTTTCAGTCAGAAATTATGAAATTCAGTCAGAATTAATGCCATAATATCGTCTTGTGAATAAGGCATTTATTCACTTTGCTGATACTCCTTCATCTGAATCAGTTAAAAGAAAGGCTTTTCCAAGCCTTTTTCCTTCTACACACCACATGTGATCATTCTGAAGTTAACAAAATGGTTTTGCAGAAATATACACGTTACCCTTCCAATCATTTAGTTCCACTGTTGCTTACGGAATCACTTATGTTTAACTTGTTAGGCACCTGACAATATCCCAACTGCTTTTTTTGCCTCTATGCTAATAATTTGACAAGGCTTTCATTTAACCAACTGAAATAAGAGTCCCTAGCTTTGGCTTTCCATTTAATACATACCTAGAACTGTGCTGAATTTGAATACTGTAACAAAAGCTCACATAACACTACATTTTGAATAGAAATAAAGAATCAAATGAATGATGTATAATTGTATACAACAGTACTTCGAAACATCAAGTTTGTTGGTTGCAACATAAAAGCAAGCATGTGCTGCTGCAACTTACGCATACAGATGACTTCCATGCATACATACCAGTTTTTTGTTGTTGTTGTTGTTGTTTTTTAATAAGATATTGATCACATGCTGCATTATCTGGCTTTCCACATTAGCAAAACTAAGCACAATCACACAGACAAAAATGCAACTAAAACAAACACAACACTTCTAAGGTTTCTGCTGTCATAGAAACCTGAAGGGAATTAATTATAATCCTAGTATAATGAAACAGTCTGTCCAGGAATATTAGGATAGCCAAAGCCAATTTGTAAGGAACATTTCAGTTCTGAAGATTTTTTCATCATTAACTACAACTCTTTCGGATGAGCGAAAAACAGCCAATAGAATTACAGCAATGAATCTTGTGTCTGACAAACCAAATAAATCCAAAAAATTCAAGTACAGAAGTTATCTCAGTGACTGCTTCACAGTAATTAACTGTATTAAGAAAATTCCTCACTCCCTGTGATTAGTACGTACTTTTGGTTTTAGCCAGTTTTAGCATTAGTGATATAAAATCTTTTAAATTGGAAAACAACCTCTATGATCCAAACAGTATCGGTACTGTTTTTAACATATGGAGGTGAAAGAAAACAATGAAACCCCTCTTAAAAAACATTTCCACAATTAGGAAAGCTGCTAGATAAAATACTTCCAAGTATCAACTGGTATTCCCTTCAGATTTGCTAATGTGGATCACAGCTCTTACATCGCATTTCACTGTATAAAATTAACCCCTAACCCACCTCCTGTATTTTCTTTTTCCCAGCTTCCCTCACCATGCTTAGGCTGTTGTAAAGGAAACTGTTTGTTTTCTGGTGGCCTCAAGGTAGACTCTAGTCTGTGAAATTTGTGAATTCTGTCTCTGACAAGAACAGTACTGTCCCTCTCATGATTTGTGATCTCTCTGGCAAGGTCCTTCTTTTGGACTACATTAGCAATCTCAGCTACAAGATCTGATTCTGCCTTTTCTGTAGGGTTTTGCTTATGCACGTGAACAACATCTTCCCTTTCTCCTAGCAGCTTGGAAAGCAGTGAATAGAAATCACCTGTACAGAAAAGAGAAAAGAGGAGAGGAGGAAAAAAACCCAAAACAACAATTATAACAGATCAGTTTTAGAAAATTTCAGCAAAGCACATCTAACACAGTTATTCGAACAGTCATTGTCAGTAGTAGCATTAGAGGGAATTGTGTCTCAGGAATTCAATGAGCCAATCCTGTGGTATGAAAAATTGATGCCAATTCATTATAATCTCTCATTTACACATAGAAATCTACTTATACCTGACATTTTGGCATCCAATACTCATTACTCCTGTACGTATGTCCTTGGGAAAAAGAAAAGGGATGTATGTAATTATAAGATTATTTATCTAGATTTGAGCAATTACCGAGGTTTGCAGGTCACTGCTGACTTACTCGGTTTTTATATAACAGAGGTGGAAAAACT